CTGTTTAGTGGCTGACCCAGACAGCCATGCCTTCTTCAGTGATAACTCTATTCCAGGGATCCCCTTCGTGTTGCAAACAGAGACCTCCAAGGGTATCTTCAAACAGCTCCACTTCTTGGCTCCCCCCAAAAACCATTGACTGGGCAGAACTTGTACATTTGCAAAGGTGTGCATTTAAGTAGGAGCAGCTAAAAAATAAACATGCTCTTCTGCACACACACACAAATTAAAGGTTCTGACAACCATGGATAGTCCAACGTGTTGATTGAAGCTGTCAATGGCTCTCAGAACAAAAGTTATGAAAGCTAGGCTGAAGCCAGTTTTTGCCATTGCCAAAATAAATAAAAGAAAAAAATAAGGAGGAAAATAAGGGGAGAAAGCTGAGTGAATCCAGAATGGCTCCCAATTCTGAAGGGAAGTGGGGAAGCCAGTGTCAGCTGCTCTTGAGTGCCACTTGGACACTTTGGGGCCAGCTAGCATTATCAGATGAGCAGAAGCTGCTTAGCAAAGGTTTTTTGTTCCTTTGCCAAGTGGCTCTGTAGCCAGTTCCTTATACCTTCAATGGGGTAAGATCCTTGGATTCAGATGTCATGAGAACCCACTGTATCTAGCAACCCATGATGGGTTGTCATGGTATGTGAACCCAGTTATAGTGACACATGCATCTGTATATCTCCACAGTGGAAAATGAATGCCTGCATGGTTCATGCAACATTCAATGCACACAAAAAGATGTGAGGTGAAACAGAAAACACAGTATTTGGAATTCTGTCTACTGGTCTCAAATACTTGGGGAGAGGCCTCTCTGAAAAATTGGTCTTCAGGCCCCCACAAAATCATCCAGACGCACTGGTGTGTGATTAAACATTACCGGATATGACAAGAAGATGATTATTGGGGATTTAACAATATCTTAATGTAATTAAATACAGCTTTGGAGTTTATCCCTTTAAGGACAATTATCAAGCCACTCAATCTGAGGGCCAAGGACTATAGTCAGGTTTGGACTTTCCTGATACTTTTGCTTATTTTACGTAAAAAAATGTTTAGGGGTTTTTTTTTAAGTCCAACATTAAATTTAACATTTAAAGATCAAAAACCCACCCGAACAATTGTGTCATACACCCAGAAAAACAAAGTGGAAGGCACAGTTTTAATCAATCATTTCAATTCCATAAGTGTTATTCTGGTGGTATGTTGCTGGCAAAGATGAAAAGTTGTGTGTGTGTGTGTGTGTGAGAGAGAGAGAGAGAGAGAGAGATTGACATTCTCATTATAATTCCTGCTAATTCAAAACTCAGTGATTAACTTTAAACCTAAGATTAGATGCCCCCAAGTTCTTATGTCTGAGGTTCCTGCTCTACCCCATTAACTTGAGTCCTCATTTCCGTACACCCTTCCAGAGCTGGCAAATAATTGTTTATTCCAAAAAACCAATTAATGGGCACAGTCAGTGACATGTACAATGTGAACGAGTAAAGGACAAGCTGTGGAAAGGACAAGACTTCCATTATTTGCCCCTCCCTGAAAAGCATTCACTCTCTTCATCATTACGATAAAGAATGTCTGGTATGCAAGTATAGCCAAAACAGATCCCTGCTGCTCTATTGTGAGTATGATCCTGAATTGAGACTAGGGGCTCCTGGCAAAAAGAAGGCAGGAGGCTGACTTATAAATACTGTTAGGTTATTATTTATGTATTCAGGGCGATGTAGTGTTTGGGGGTTATTATGCTTACAGAAATAAGTACATGAAGAAAATAATACACTTTTGCATATTAAATAACATTGTAAGATGTGGATCATCTTGAAGCCTGTCATTTTAAAATGTAATGGATAGTTAGCAGCTTTTTATAAAATGGCAGCATATTTGCATACCTTTAAGTGTTGGCACATGTATTAGGTTTGACCATAATGACAAATCCCAAAATCTGAAAAACCATTCCAAGAACGGAGCATATTTATTGTAGTTATCATTCCTCTCTCTCTCTCTCTCTCTCTCTCTCTCTCTCTCTCTCTCTCTCTCTAATTCCATGGTGAGAGTTGTATACTGTGCACCTCAAAAAAGACATTGTGTACTTAGAAAATGTGCAGAAATGGCAACCAAAATTATCAAGATGCTGGAGCAAGTGCCATGTGAGGAAAGGTTAAGACATGCAGTGCTTTTTGAGTTTGAAAAATGGTAAATAAGAAAGTCATTGGAGAGGTACATAAAAATGATGCATGGCATGGCATGGCAAAACTGCATAGACTATGAGCCTTTTTTCGTAATGCCAGCACCCAGAGCCATCCAGGGAAGCTGAATTGTGGGAGGTTGAAGATGAAGCAGTTCACAGAAAGCGTAATGAAACTGGAATTTGCTGCCATAACTTGTAGTGATGGCCACCAAGTCAGGATGACTTTTGGAAAAGGTTAAAGGATTCATGGAGATGAATGCTATCAATGGCTACTAGTATGAATGGCTATATATTACTAAGCAAAGCTTAGCATGTTGTGCAATAAGCTGGCCAAAATCAAAAGTACTGTCTACCTCAATTTACATCACAAGGTATAGTAACCCTATGTGATGGAAATGAAGGTATGTCTCAGAATCCATTGGATAGATTTGGAGAATAATTTAAGGCTACCCCTCTATTTAGCCACCTGAGGTTTTCAGCTGCTGGAGCCACCACTGTGCCTGACTAACAATCAAGCACAGCAGTGTTCCTCAGGCACTTCCTCCCACTCTTTCCCCCTAATTCCATCAGCTGGTGGCTGAGGAGATACTGAGGGGAGCAACATGACAGCTGACAATAGTGGGCACTGCTTGCAGTGATGGGGAGGAGTCCCCCCCACCCCTTGATGTCTCCCTTCTCCAATCCATGGTCCTTCCACTTCCAAAGGAGGAGGCATGTGGCGCAGGGTTTGGAAGGCCAGCACTGGGCAGTTTGCTCTGTCATATTAGTTTGCTCTGTCATATTAGTGCTGACCACTGGCTCTGAAAGATGATGAGAAGGCAGGAAAGGCTTTGCACCCTCTCCCCAGTCAAGGTGCAAACGGCTCTGCTTGTCTTCCTTTTGAGAAAGGCAAGCAGAGTGGCTTGTTCCTGCCCACCACTGCAATGGTGGTGGCAGTGGGCAGGATCCAGCCATTTGGTCTCATATCCTCATGCTTCCATTTGGGGCCTGAGGAGGGGGTCACCACAGCAGCTTCCCCCAAGCCCCAGCTAATGCTGGAGGGAGAATGGCATTGCTCACACACAATCCTGCTCTCTCTTCAGCACTGGCAGGAGCACAGATGACAGCCATGCAAAGTGCCACTTGGTATTTTACTGACTGTCATCAGCCAGAACCCCTCAGCCAGAGTGATTTGGATGCCATGCTAAGCCGCAAAGGGTTTTCTAAACCTTAGAACAAGCCTGGGGTACTTGGAATGGTTTACAAGCCACCCCAAGGGAAGCAGGGGGGTCATATAACCTGCCAAGCCACCCCTCAGATGGCTTAGTGTGTCAAGCGAAAGTGTCTCCTTTCTGTGCTGATGTAATTCAATGTTTTCTGATGCAAGTAACACAGAATCATTTTCTCTAAGAGCAAAAGAAAGCAAATGTTGTACCTCTATTCATTATTAAAATAGGATAGGCAGTTGGACCCGATGGCCTTCTGCTCTCTTCCAACTCTGCTGTTTTATGAAAAACACTTTTGGATTTAAACAAAATCCTACATATGTTTTTAAACAAATAAGCCACAGGTTGGATCTAGAGCTAACGCTTCATGAATAGAACAGTTTCTTTCCATTGGCGGAGGGAGCTGCGATCACTCTCCTGGAGGAAGATTTTTCTAAATTTCTCCTTCCCCCTGCAGTGGTCCCTCATATACTGTACTTTAGTATTTACCAACATTCCCATGAAGATTTTAGAGAAGCAGGAGAAAAGGGAACTGACAAAAGTCACTCCCTCCCTTACATCTGTGGGATAATCCAGTTTGTTAAGTTTTTCTCCATGTAGCTTTGGCTCCAGTCCAGTATCTTTATTCATTTTCCCCCCATCTGGATGTCTAAGAATAGAATGTTTTCCTAATCCCTCATGATTTCTTCATGAGTGTCTTTCATAACATATCAAAGAATGCAGTGTCAGATAAAGTGTTCTACCAGAATAACCAATGGGTACAAGGCACTGTATTTTTATAATCTCAAGAGCTTAAAAAATACATTAGAGGTTCCTTAGACTAGGATAGGGCACATGGAGCCCTTCAGATGATATTGAACTCCAACTGCTATCAGACATACCCTGCCTGACTAAAGAATAGGGAGGATGGGAGTTGGAGGCCATCAACTTCTAGAGGCCCCTCACCCTGTCTCAAGAGCATTCTAAAGTTAGTGATGCATGTGATTTTGGAAAGCAGTAACAGGCTATGTTTTGTGCCAATGGGAAAAGGAATACACTGTTACCTTTTGTTTACATGGAGCTCAGAGACAGGGTATTAGAACTACCATACATACTAGATGCAATTCTCTGTCTTTCCCTTTATGTTTTATTTATTTTAAATGAGAACTGCCTATGAGGCTGTGAACTTCAGAGGAAAAATGACAGTAGATTAGAGCTGCTAACTTCTCTCTCTTTGTCATTTTTTTCCTCATTCCATACTGTCTCTAGTTGTTTTTCTGCCTGCAGGGGAATTGATTAAGGCTAGGACAGCCTTCCACAATCTGGAACCATCCAAATTTTGGGACTACAACTCCCAGCATTCCTGAGTACTGGCCATGGTGTCTGATGAGAACTGAACTGAAGCATCAGTAGGGCAACCGTTTTAGGAAGGCTGGACTAGACAGATCAAATGTAGCTGCAGGCAGGAACAATTGTGAGCTGAAAAACAGCCAAAATTGCTAAGCGGCCCTTCCCTTGTTGAAATGTTACAGGCTTGGATGTCACGTTTGGTTAAAAATACTAACAGCACATCAGAGAAAAGAAGCATGTGGTCATGTAGTTTGGTGCTTATGTTTAAACAACAACCCTCGTCCATACAATTAAAATTGTGGCTGCTTTTAATTTTAATTTAATTAATTAATACATTTATTAGTATAACCAAACAGGCAATCCTTTTACAGTGCAGGTAGCAATGGTCATTAGAAGTTGGAGAAATCCAGGGTGAAACAAATGAAGCAGTTCTGTTCTGTAAAATGCATGCCCAGTGGAGCATTCTTGAAAATGCTTCACTCGATGTTCTAGGCATAGGCAGGTTTGCACTAGTTTAACTAGCTCCATGGGGTGTGTGAATAAAGCTGGTATAATAGCATGAAAGTGAGTCATCCCTATGCCTTCACCACCCTAAACAAGCCCCTTTTTGGACTGGTTTTGCTCCAATTAAATGTTTTGCATGATGGCATTGCAACACATCTAGTAAAGTGTAGCAGCACTGATTAATGCTGCTGTCCCAGGCTGGCATTTCTTAGGTCAGTTCCTAGAGACCCATACATTTTCATACATTGGGACCTTTTACCAACTTGCATGTTATCTCTTCTCCTAAAACTGTTTCAGCAAGGGAGAGAGGGGGATACAATCTGGCTCAAGGGATGATTTCATGGAAGTCAAGAGAAACTGAAACTGTCGAGAACCCAACACAGAAAGTACTAGAGTTCTGTGTTGTATTCGGTGTTCATACGCAACCTGCACGATATCCTACAAGAGAAAAATACTGTATTCATATACAGCCTGCATAATATCCTACAGGAGAAATTCCTGTGGGAAGAGTGAATATACAGGGTAATCCTGCACAAATGAACTCAAAAATACCCCAGTGGGGCTTACTCCACATCTGACTACCCATTGTTTTTAATGTGGTGTTTATAATAGCTAACTATTGGATGCTGTGCCCTATTTTTACCTGTTGCTTTGTTGTAAACCATCCTGAGACACCAGTAGATGGATAGTCTATAAAAGGCTTAAATAAATAAATAAATAAATAAATGATACTCCCAGGATACAGCTTCAAGTCTGTATCACATCAGCAGAACTTGAACGTGGAGAAGATTCGTGACAGCTAGTCCTGCTGGGCAGGGGTCAGCAACTGGTCCCCCACAACTCCCATTAGCCCTAGCCAACATAGCCTATGATGAGGGATAATGGGAATTGTAGGTGACAACATCTGGCTTGTTTACTTCTGTCCCAGGACTTGGACAGTTATGCACGAAGAGCTTCCATGTACTCTTTGTGTAAGCCGGGCTCCTCAAACTTTTTCAACAGGGGGGCAGTTGAAAGGTGCTGGCAGTGGGTGCAGGGCGCCAAGGAGGTGCCAGTGGGGGAGCGCAGGCCGGTGAGGGGGTGGGGAGTGTGTGCATGGCGAGGCAGGGATGGGGGGGACACACACGGCGAGTGGGGGTGGAGGGCACTGGGCGAAGCAGCAGCTTGCTCACACGGAGATCGTTTTCTCCGAGCAAGTCCAAAACGATCTCCGCATGAGCAAGCTGTGCGCACACACGCGACGAGTGCAAAACCTCTGGGGCGGGCCGGTTAAATGGGCATGGTGGGCTGGATTTGGCCTGTGGGCCATAGTTTGAGGACCCATGGTGTAAGCTATGGACCAAATCACTTTCCCCCGGCTCTGTGAAAGCACCTTCAAAGTGCTTCAGCTACAAGTATATACTTTTAAGGAATGATCTCCACCATCCAAGACAATCAGAGAATTATCTGCTGTGTAAGTTAATGCCAATGGATAAGAAAGACCACTGGTAATGATGGGTCTACACACAGGAAATTCTTCTGGTTTTCCCAGGCAGAGTACTGTTTGATTGTGGGTGTCAGTTACCATTATATGACCTTCCCTGCTGAAGGTCACATCACTGGCATAAATTTTGGAAGGAAAGACCAGATTCAAGCCAAAACTGTCTACTTGACTAATGAGCTGCAGATCTGCACTGAATATTTTCACTCTGGTGCTGTCATAGTTTGGTTCTTTTGCCATCAGATGTTCTATGACTGCGAGTGCTCCTGAGGCCTGAGAAACAGCTACTTTTCTTGGATTGCACAAGTTAGAATACAATTTTGTCACTTCCTTTAATTCCCCCTTTTTAAAGTCTGCTGTCAAGCGATATAAAGTACCTGCCTCTGAATCAGTCATGATAAGATCATTCTGAGGTGTTGTATCCAGACCCCAGGGTAAAGAAAAGGACTCTGAGATGAGCAGCTTCCCTCTGCCATTAAAATCAAAGACTTTCACAGAACGATCCCCACTGTCTGTGACAACAATATGACCGTCCAGTGTAATTGTGATGTCTGTTGGGTACCTGATGTCATTTCCTGCCTGTCCTCTTTCTCCAAACTGCTGTAAACAGTCCCCATTGAAAGTGAACAGCTTGATCCTCTTCTTGCCATCATGAGCCACTGCTACACAGCCAGTTCTTTGGCAAACAGCCATCCCTGTTGGATTGATCAGTGCTCCCCATCCTCCAAAGGAGAGTCGAAACACGAAGCTCTGAGATGCTGGTATAGCCACATCCTCACCTATCCCAATTGTCCTTCCCAAAACTGGAGTGTTATTGGCTGAAGGACTCAAGATTTCCATCAGGTGCAACAGTGGCAAGCAGTCACTTGTCTCGGACGATTTGCAAACTTCACGACAGAAAGGGCACTCCAGCTTCAAATTCCGGGGATGGGCCAGAGACATGACACATTCCAGGCATATCACGTGTCCACATGGCAAGTTCCTTGGCCGGTGTTTTTTCTGCTGGTTGTATTTTTCAAAGCACACTTTGCATTCAAGCAGACTGTCCTCGGCCTGATCAAGCAGCTCTGTCATTGTTTGCATGTCCTTGGAGGCCTTGGCAGACATTTGTTGTACAACTCATAAGAGGATTATTCTTCTGCTGGTGGTGCGCTAGGCTATCTGGTCACATTGGTTTGGTCACAAGACCCTCTTACATAAGAGGCCTTCCTTTATACACATCCTGGTGAACTCAAAGGCTACATACATTTCGTATTGAAATCATTGCTTGTAGTTTGCTGCCCTCTCAAGGAAACTCTCTGTAAAACAACACATTTTCAAGAGTACTTGCAATGTGAACTACAGGATACAATTGGTTATTTATGTATTCATCCTTCCCTCTATTTTTTTTTTTTTGCTTGAATAAAACAGGTTTAACTATGCAGGTGAAATTATTGAAATATGAATCTTAAGAAATGTAACATGTCCACATTAATTTACCTTTGTCAGTTCAGTCCAGCAAATTTGAGTCCATCAACTTATCATAATCAGTGTATTATACTTCACTATTCCTGTTAGAGAGAAAAAGTCGCACAACCAGAATGCCTGGCTAGGAGTTGCAGAATATTTTCTGTCTAAACTTGAGTTGCCTTGCATCTAATAACAAATATTAGGGGGAAGTAGAAAGAAGCTGGTTTCATAAGTTCTATTGCAGAGATCAGTACCACTAATAACAACTGAAACTTTGCTAAACACCCTGCCATCATATATATCCAAAATAAATCATTTTGGCAGTCTTAAAGGGTAACTTTAATTATTTAGTGGGAGATCAGTTAACGCTGCTGGTCTGACAAGGCTGTCCTTAATGCTGCCTTTTTCTTGCATGTTTTTTCCCACTTTCTGGATTTCCCCCCTCATATTTTAACTTCTCTGTCTCCAACACCTCTCTCAACCACTGCTGCAATTGCTCTTTACTTTTATCCTTAGCTCATCCTCCTCTCAACCCCTCTGTCTAGAATCAACGGAAGATAAAGCTCCCATACTTTTATAATTGTAAAGTAGACAGTGCCTGGGTGCATATGACATGACAACCCACCAAGGTTTACAAGTCACAGTGGGTGTCATGTCATGCAAACCCAGAACAGGTTTGTTAGAGTGGCTTATTTTTGGCTTATAAGCCACTCTGAGAACCCATGACCTTGTAGTTGGTGCTGCCTGAACTGGGATGGGTTGCCTTGTTGTCTGAATCTTGATGACATGATCTATCATGGGTTAAACCCAATTAGTACTTGGCCAGAGGAATAAAGCCCCCTTGCTGCTCTTGTCAACTGGCTAGCTAGGAGGCACCTCCGACAGCTGCCCCAAAGTGCTCCAGAGGCAAAAGTTTATCCTATTCACTGCTGCTAGCAACCCCCAGTTCCCTGGCACTCCTGCTGTTTTGGACTGGCAGTGGAGGAAAAGGAGGTTGGTTCAGCTGAATAACTGACTGAAACTGCTTCCTCTTCTGAACTGCTTCTGAAACTGTCACTTACCAACTATTTTATCATGTTGTAAGCCACCCCGAGGTTTCGGCAAAGGGCGGCATAGAAATGTTATAATAATAATAATAACTAGGTGATGACTACCTCCAATGTGTCCAAGTGGCACTTGAGAGCAGCTGTCAGGGGTTTCCCCTGCTGCCTGCAAATGTGACAAAGCTTTTTGGATCTACCATACAGAAGTAATCACTGGTGACACCTCTTAATTTGGGAGCAGCAATCCTGGCTCCCTTGTTGCCACTGCAAATCCTCTCAACCTCTCAATTACACCACGGGGCAGAGAGCAGTTCAGGCAAACTGATGGCTGCTTCCCTGCCCTGTTCTACTGCCATTAGCCCTTTTAGTTTCCACCAGCAGCACAGGGGAAAGACTCCTGCTCCACTTTTGCCCCTCCCATGTTGCTGTGTCAAGGCCTTCTGGGATCCCTGCAGCAATGGGGCCAGGAAACCTTGCTGCTGCCACAAGGTCCCCTGCAGGAGGACCAAGGGGGAAGGAGGCATGCAAGCTCCTGCAAAGTGCCCAGTCGTGTTGGGCACATCAGCTTGGCCCTGTGGCTCATACAGCAGTGTGGATTGTCATGCTGGTGTCATAAAACACTCCCAATGTGTGAATGGATGCATGTGTAGCTTGTCTTGCAGGGAGGAAGAACTCACTACCCACCTTGCATGATACAATTATGAAGGGTATGGAAATTTAAACTGAGAATGGCAATTGGCCATTGAAGGATAGGGTGTAATTTTAGAAATATAATAAATAAGAACAAGCTCAGAGGTCTTCTCAAAAGACACCCTTGTGAGGAGGCTGTAGCAATCAAAAAGATACTCAGCCAAGGAAGTCTGTTGCAAAACCCTAGAGGACCAACGTTATGTTCTGGGTTGGGTAGCAATTTGATACAAAAGAGGAAATGTAGCCACAACTCTTTAGATAGGACATCCACTTACAACTTGATTTTTGAAAAAGGAAATGCATCACTTAGTAGTAGGACAAAGGATGTGAATCTGCATGTAATTCATGTGCACAGAAAAAAAAATCACACAGTAATATAGCAATACTGAGCATCTTACTTTAGAGTGGAGGACTGCAACCAGGTGACCTGTGTGCCCGGTATTCAAGTGCTATCTGATGATGGGTAACAGGTATTATGGGCACAATCCTTTGGGTTGCATCCTTGATCCTAAGGGTTGTGTCTTTTGCCTCCCTGTACACCTCCCTTGCATTTTTCTAGATGGGATTTTTGGCCCATCTAGAGAAAGCATTTGGAGAAGCAGTTGGTGCAGTTCTTTTTATGCCCAATACCAAGTGCGGCTGTCAGAGCTCCAGGTCTCATAAAAGAGCCCAGAGCACTCTCTCCTGCCATGGAGCAAGCAAATGGAAATGTTTTGTGGGTCCTCAGAGGCTTCCAAGGGCTGTAGGACTGCTCCCTTAAGTTCTTTATCATTAAAACTGATTTGGGAGGGACAGAATGCATTCCTCTGGCAGTGCTTTGAACAGGGTACTGTTCTGTATAAAAGAGGACACATGGCTACCCTAAAAATAGTTTTGGCTATGATGCTTGAGAGTGCTGGCACCTGTTGATCTTTAAGCCACATCTTCAAAGAATTTTAGCACTTTACTCAGTCTAGCAGATTCCAGTAGCTTCCCTATGCTAGCAGTGAGAAAACTTAGGTGTGATTAGTGGAGTTCCCCTTTAGAACCAGTTTTTATTTTCAATGTTTGGGGTGCATGTAAATCCTTATGAAACCAAAGTAGAACCATGCACACATGTGACTGTGTCAGCAGGTTTGCAGGGAACCCAAAGTTTGCAAAAGTAAAAAACAAAACTTTAAGGAAAAAACCCTTAAAGTGGGGAAAAACTTAGAACAGCCCAAACAGGACAGAGTGTACTGAGTGGTGATGGAACTCTGTCTGCCTACTGGAAGGGAGTGGAGGTGGAAAAGCAGGAGGAAGAGTGGATTGGCTCAGTCTGGATGGCTTTATCTTGAACTGGGCATTGCTCCATGGCTTTTTTTTTCTTTTTGAGTAGGATAGTTCTTCAGCCTCCAGGTGTTTAGCTGTAGATGCCTGGATTAGCTAAAGGTGGAATCCTAGAACAGGAGCTTGCTCTTCTGCCAAAGCTGAAAAGAGGCCCTGTGCTCAGCCTATTGAATTCCCAGAATTAAGGATTCCTTGGCCAGACTGGAATAACCATGATGATTTACATTCTATCATATTCAATTCTGTTGAGGAATTTGGGAGTCTGGGGAAATAGAGGGATGGGGTAAGGCAGACTTTCCCAACACGGTGACATCCAAATGGTTTGGACATCCTATCTTTTCAGATCCTGTCAAGATGACCAATGGTCAGGAATACTGGAAGCTGTTGCCCAAAACATCTGGGGAGTATAAGAAATGACTCTGGGTTAGTCCACATATCTTTTCATTTATCAAGTCTGCTTTTCTTTTGAGAAGCTTGGCCATTCTCAGTGGAAAAGTCCTAGTTGCCCCGATCCACATTAAGTCTATATGTTGTTAAGGCCCTGCCAGACCACACTGAGGGCCTATCCAGTCCAGCATCCTATTTCTTACAGTGGCCAATCAGAAGCTCTCAGAAAGTTCAGAAATTCTATATCTTTCCCTTGGGCAAGACTGCTATTTTCATTTTTTGCCTAGGTGCCTTCATAACATGGCATCTTCTTATTCATGCCCAAACTGTAAAAAATAGCATTACCATCACCCCACCCTTGAGCAAAGTTCCATATTTTTCCCATAAAAAGAGCCCACATAAAATATAAAAACTGGTGGTAGGGAGGGTTGTTTCATAAATCGCCAGCTGTTTCTCTTTGCTCTTGCCTCTCAATTTCCCCAGAGCAAAAGGAGGAGTTCATGTGGCAGCAGCCGTTTCCTCAGCTGCAGGATTTTCTTCCCAGTAGAGAGTCTTCGAATAAGGGCACAGAGTGACAGGAACAGAGGGACCAGCTGCTTAAGCACAGTGAAAGACTCACGGATGTAGTAGAGCAGGTCGAGATGACAACTCAGCTAATGAATTGCACCAACCATTCTGACATAAGAGACAATTGAACTCATCATCTCTTGTCAGCACACATGTTTACATGATTTCACTGTTCTACTGTTTTCAGTGATGACTCAGTGACACAAAGGCAGAATGACTGGCTATGTGCATCACATCTGCACTCTTTTATATAGCTCATGTTTACTGTGGAGGCATCTTGCTTTTAAGAATGTTTCCTGAAATGAAGTGCAGGGGCAAATGACGCACCTAAACACTCAGGCACATCAGAAAGACTTGTCTGGCTGCAGGTCCATGCAGAACATGCATCACATTTTTTGAGTTTAGGGATCTGCTGTGAGACCACCAGCTTTTAGTTCCCCCTCTTTCTGAACTGTACTATTCCAGCTGGTCATTTTGAGAGCGTTATATTAAAAACTTGTCCCTGTGTTTACTTGTTTTCCTCCTCTCTCATCTTCTTTTTTCCTTCTGTGTCAAGACTCTTAGATTGGAAGCCTGCAGAAAGGGACTGTATAGTTTGTTATGGATAGTTTTAAAGACAACCTGGGACTCCCTTATGTAGAACAGGGGAAAACAAATCGACTAAGCAAATTTATGAGTTATGTGATTGTTTAAATCCCAAGTTGTTGGGACTGCAAATAAGGCTGTAAGCACGTTGACTCACACACATTCGCTGCCTCCATTTCTGAATCAATTTTAATCAACAACCCAGGAATGCCTCTGTGATATGAGTCCAAATGTAGTACTCTGGATTCTTTAGGGGTAAGCAATCCACGTAATAAATAACTAATAAAATAATTACTCATCATATACTTCTCGGTGTACTTCTCTTCTGCTTCTGGCCTCACCACTTCATAGCTTAAACAACCAATGAATTGGCATGTGTAAACCCAAGGAAACAAATGAAGTTTTCTGTAGGCTGTTTTTCCCTTTGCTCAGACTGTATCCTACAATTCACAGGCTGAATCTGCCAAGCATTATGCTACCATCAGAAATTACTGAAGTATAAATTTTCCCACTGCTTTGTCAGTAATTTACTTGCGGACTCTCAATGTTGCTGGTTTCCTGGCTATTTTGATGATGCACAGGGGTTAGGAAATTCTTTAGTTTATTTCAGGGAACTGATGCTGTTTCAAAACTAATATTGTCAATCAAGGTACCTGCTTAACCAGTACAATTGCAAATTACTATTACTATTGCAGATTCATACTATAAAGCAAAACATAAAGCCAATGCAACCTTTCAGTATTTCCGTTAAATGATACAGACCCTCTGAAAGCTTCTTTGCATTTGAAAAATGGGGAGAATGAATCACTGCATACTATGTTTTCAACACATCTTTGATGAACTTGAGAAAAATGTCACAGCTGAATCCATCATTTTGATGTGCAAACACACTCAAGATGCCAGAGGCAGATGACAACTGCAAAAACAGTAATAACCATTACTGCTCCAATGGCCAAGGCAATCTTTGAAAATTGTGACTGGATTTCAATACCCTTGAAATACAAGGCTGGATGTTACTGCTTCAGCATGAAATAGGGCTTGGAGGAAATAGCCAAGTGGATGAGGATGCATAGGCAGGAGTGACCTTCACTCCCATTTCCATTTTATCTAATTTGTCCCTTTATATGAACAGTAGCTATCTGGGACAACACAATACCTGTAAGAGAGCTGCTGTACCCTCCCAGTGTTTCAAGGATTGGGTAGAAAAGGCTGAGGCTGGGAAGCTGCTGGCAGACCAGAGAAGTTGATGGGAAATCTTGATGCTCTAAGAGGGGTGATGTAACTTGTGGGCTTACTTCCCTGCTAGAAAAAGTTCCTGGATTTGATGCTGCAACTGGATGCACAGGTGGCAGCGGTATCCAGGGTGTGATTGTAATGTACTTTATGTGGAGCTACCCTTGGAGCTTCAGCATTTGCAAAATACAGTTACCCTCTTCTTGGAGGCCATGGAGAGGTTGGAGAATATGCAACTTATTTTGCAGTGTGTTTATTAAACGTGTATTCTCTCCAACTGGAAAATGTCCTCACAGCAGTTTACAATCAGAAATTGTAAATGTTGCATTGCAAAGTCAAAGCTCAATGCAAAGCATGGTTCTATCCTTTAAATCCATCAAGTCTGAAGACCTGTTTAGACATGGGATAGCTTCTCCCATAAGAGTGGATTTGATTTAAATCACAATTTAAATCACCAGTCAGTCACTTTAATTTTTACTGCTTGCTCTTCCCTTCTCACAGGTAGCTTCTTGTGCAGATCTCTTCTACTCCCAACAATCTTCTTCCATTCATTGAATTTTTTGAAACTCAGCACTTAAGAGGTAAGGTGTTGATACTATGTACATAGATTTGCAAAGGAACAACGGGATAAGATCGTCTTCCTCCATTCTGTATGTTTATTTTATAATATTTTTTGCTGTGAAGAAGAGGCATGTGATCTCTGCAAACACAGATTCAGTTCTGAGAACTGTAAAACCAGGCATCCGTGATAATATCTTCTAGATAGAAAAACTGCCCAATAATCTTACAGAAAACTCACTGTAAATGGATGAATGGAATTAGTTTACCAAAAAAATTAAACATTGCATGAATATACAGCCTCATGCTACATAATTAAAAACTAATCCGTATTTCATGATGAATAACCTTTGGACTATATTGTATCTTAAATAGAAAACTATCTTTAGATCATTTTTTCCTCAAAAAGCATTTTATTTTTAAAAAATCTAATTTATATTTTTTAAAAATCCAATTTAAATGAATTTCTTTTGATTTTTATCCACCCCGTCTCCTCTACACTCCTTGCTTCCTTCCAGTGATAAAATTCTGACTGGATGTTCCTTGATTGTGTGAGGTTACAGCGACCTCAGCAAGGAGCAGGAGTTTTTCCATAATGGAACCAGCATTGTGGAAAGACCTCCTCCTCCTCCTTCTGAGTAAATTTTATTATTATTTTCTACAAACTAAAAAATAGAAACTAAAAAACATCAATCATCAGAAACATCAGCCCCTATTTTTTAAAATAGCAATCCGTAAATATATTCAAATCTATTCTAGCCAATTTCTCTAGCCAATTTTTGTGGAAAGACCTTCTGTGGAGATCTGTGTGTGTGTGTGTGTGTGTGTGTGTGTGTGTGTGTGTGTGTGTTTGATCTGATTTTTATTTATAAAGAGCTTTGCTGGGCTGGGTACTACATGTGGTACTGTTTTGTTTGTCTGTTTAATTTTTATTAATTTTACCTGTTTGCAGATTTGCATTTTTAAGAGGAAGATGTAATCGAATTATGGGAGAAAATCAAGCTTTAGGATGAGGCAGAACATAAATACATAAAATGAAAGAGTGGGCATAGATTTAGACAATGCTGGATTTTCAAGACCCAATGATCTTGCTAAGTTACCCTCTGTTTTCTGACTGCATTGCCCAATAAATACTGCAGAATGTTCAATGAAAGGAGGAGGAACTGGGATGGTACAGAATAACCACAGTCCTTCAGAGTACGAATGAATTCCAGGCAATCACTGAGTCAGTCTCTCCTCCCTTGTATATTTCAAGGAAATAATCAGGAAACAAAAACAAGAAATGTAAAATGCATTTTATGTGGAAATTCACAGAAAATTTTAAAAACAAATATTAGAGGTCAAATAAAATATCCACTCCGAATGTGCAAATATCCATTCAGTTCTTGTGTAGCCAAACTGCCATCCCCTGAGTGTGTTTAGAGTATCATCTTGACTCTTTTAATCTGAGCATATATATTACTTCCCATAAATAATCTATACCGTATTACTTATGTTGCTCTAATAAGCCATCCATTTTCTCAAACACTTAATAATGCAGTATTTGCCTGAAAGGAAAATTGAACAACAAGTTACAGTTCCAGAGACGGCTTGATAAATCCTGCATTATATCTATCAGGGGTTTTTCCTGTTGGGTGTGAAGCCTCCTCAACTGGCCATTATTAGAGCAGGATTACTTATTTATTTAATTTATATGCCACACCCTTAGCCAAAAAGGTTCTCTAGGCAGCTAACAATCAAAAGCACATCAATAAAATTAGTTAACTTACAATTTCAAGTTGAAACAATAAAACAATAGAATAAAACCAGATAAAGTAATTTAAAAGATCAATTTATAAATGTGATCTTGTGGTTCAATTCACAAAAGGTGACAGCAAAATCAAGACCTGTTACTAAAACCAAATTAATCACCAAAATAATTCTGGAATAGGAATGTTTTCATTTGGCGATGAAAAGATTGAAGAGACGTTGGCTGGCAAATTTCACTAGGACGTGAATTCCAAAGGTGGGTGCCACCACAGAGAAGAAAATCACTTGATTACATTAAGAAATAGCACTTAACCCTCTCTCAGACATGCAGAAGTTATTCTGTTTGTATGATGTAGTATAAAGCATCAAATATATGTCCCCTAGGCCATGGCACGTGATGTAGTGGCTTTCTGAACATGAGTACTTTTGGATCTGGTCATCCCTACAAGAAAGACTGACGGAGAACCTTACATATGTCACTTTGATATTCATGATGGAAAGGGGAAGATTATAAATATATCAGACAAAACAAACACAAGGAGAAAAACTGTTTTGGTTCTTATCTCATCCTGCCTTCTGTTGTGACAGCCTGGATGCTTATCCTTTGAATTCTCCCTTAGTACTCCTCACTCTCTCTGTTGACCTTCTGCTTTTGAACAAGCTTTTATTTCTTTACTCTTGTTCTATTTCCACTTTATTTAAGAATGTAGTCAGCCTAGAAAAATTCAGTCCTTTATGGGTCACCCTCCTATAAGGGCTTCAATATCCAAAAGCTTATGTGTAGCAGGGTTACCTGTTAGGACAAACTCTATTTGAATTGTTTCAGTTTGCATGTAGATTCATTCTTTTGAGCCTGATCTCAAAATAACATTTAGAAATATCTGCTATGGCTTGTTAGCATTAGCAGTTTACTCAAGCTGGAAGTGGACAGGAGTAACTGAAACAGCACCAACATACTGAAGTGTGCAGAGCAGACATTGTCTCAAGTGATT